ACACAATACATCAAACACTAGGTTGACACAATACATCAAACACTAGGTTGACACAATACATCAAACACAAGGTTAACACAATACATCAAACACAAGGTTAACACAATACATCAATTACAAGGTTAACACAATACCTTTCAATGATTTATGCAGCATTGTGATAAATATGTATACAAAAATTGGTATATTGCTTTAAAATATCTCTACCATTAAATTTCAAAATCCAAATTCTAGATGGCTACTGAAAAATTCTTTACAATGCCAGTGTATAGAGTCTAAACACCCTGAATTTATAGACATCCTAATGTATTGAAATGTAGCATATTAGCAAGTATGACTTATGAAAAACAATTTACATGATTCAGGCTTATGAGTTGCTTGTTTTATTGTTACAGCTACCAGACCTTAACATTATAGAGGAGTTACTAGAGCCTATGATAATGGCTACCATCATAATACCTGACCAATACTTGACCGCTGTGATGTCACTCTGCCATGTAAGTAGATATTATTTATATACGAGTGTCGGTGTTGCCGTTGCCATCAACACAAAAGGCTTCCATGTGAAAACTCTTAAAAAACACTTTGATGTTCATTATGACCCAAATCTGAAGAAATCATCATGGCAGACAGCAGTTGTCTTAGATTTTGTAAAAGAATGCTGTGATTTTGATGAAACCTTTTACATTTGTTAACTGATCAAGTTAGATATGGATACATTTTGAGTAAGATGCAAAATTCAATATGGCTGGTAGAGTCCATTTTGGATTTATTGATACATATAGGATTCCAGACTTTGTCTTCGAAGAGGTTATCAGATACTGAATTAAACTTGGTGAACTTTCTATACCAAAGTCCCTCGATTGAGTTTGATGCTCTGCAAAATTCAGGCCTATTTAGCGAGGTTGTGATCTGATTGGCTGATGGTTTCTGCATGGTGTCTTTTGAAGGAATGATCAGGCTGGAATTAAACTTGTCTGTATCTTGATCATCTCGTACCCTCATTGTTAGGTATATTTTGTAATAAAGCTGTTCCAAATTTACTGATCAAGTGTTATCGTTTCAGGAAAGGCGTGGCAATCCACTAGAACAGACATACCTAGACCAACACAGAATGGTATTGAAGTGTATCTTCCCACTCAATGAGGTGCTCATCGACTTCTTTGATGAACTGAAATCTATCACATCTGGATATGCAAGGTACAATCATTCCTGTTGGCCTTTTAGAAAGGATTCAGTATGGTTCAAAGCATTTAAAATATCAATATGTGACATATCATATACACAGCTTTTAAAGTGTTTTCATTATTAGTGATGTTAATATATATTACATTGGGTGAGTTCAAGTGAAGATTTTACCTTACGCTTCTTGGAAATAAAATTTATATTTTCCTAGGGATTTAATTTTGTGAACTCCAACTTTATATTATTTTTATGGTCCATTTTTTCATGTTAACACATGATAACATGTTTGTGTAAAATGTTTGATATTGTTTCAGTTTTGATTACGAGGACCATGGTTATCAACAATCTGACCTTGTAAAGGTGGAGTTCCTAATCAACAAAAATCCTGTTGAAGAGATGACGCTAATCTGTCACAGAAGTAACTCCAGAAATCGGGGCAAGGAGATATGTGTGAGACTGAAGGAGCTTATTCCTCGCCAGATGACCTATGTTACAATACAGGCCATCATTGGGAGTGACATCGTCGCCCGAGAGGACATTAAACCCATAAAGAAAGATGTCCTAGCTAAATGTGTAGGTTTTAATCCTCGAGTTTTTTTAAGAGTTAAAAATCTTCGTGAATGTAAAAATTATTCATTTCTGTTGTCATCAGGTGACCGTTTCTATCATGTATTTCTACAATAGAAAGGGACTGTATTCATGAAACCGTTCTCATGCTTTAGCATGGATTCTGTGCTCAAACCAGCTTTCTCCTAAAACACTTAAATTAGGTAAAATGATCAAAACGTCAAGTATAAACATTGAAAATAGTATTCAGCTTTGAGTTTCTTCAAATATTTTCCAATCATTGACAAAATGAGATTTTATCATGAATTTATAACCGAAACAAGAAAATAAGCTTGAGCGCAAAATCCATGCTTGAGCATGAGAACGGTTTCATAAATACGAACCCAGATGGTCTTCATGGACAGGTTGTTTATATATCTTGTTTGTAGAAATATCTGTTCTTCTGATGACTGTTATAGCCAGGACGCCCAGTAGAAATACTCGATCTGTTGGGATTCTGAATTAGCACTTTTATTGGACACACAACTAATTTTATCTGCTCCATGAGTGGATAATACACTTGTAAATTGATAAAGCAGATGGTTTGAAAAATCCCGTCGTTTTAATTTTTATATGACTTAAAGCCATGATGGTATACAAAAATATACTATATATTCTATATTTCATCCAGGAGATTCTAGTTGAGCATGACTACTGTCTATTACGTGTACTTATCATGACATTGTAAATAAATACACTCTATATGTATTAAATGAATTTATTATTTTTAATTGTAACAGTTGTTGGTAGCAGTGAACTGTGCAATATATGCACATGGACTTTTGGTCTAAGCCTGCCAATATCTGTCTATGATAGTGTATATATATGCTGAAATAAATGTATTTGTACATGTACTTGTATGTGTGTGTAAGTGTGTGTGTGAGATGTTTCCTTCATGAGTTACTTCCCCTTAGCCTTGTGTTA